TCCCTAAAACAAAAAAAAAAAACAAAAAAAAAAAAAACTCTCAGAAAATAAATTCTGTGGGATCAGGAATAGCAGTAATATATTGATACGGAAACCACAGGACCAAAGAGTAACCTATCTGAAGTCACAATGGAGGCCAGATAGTAGCTCAGCCAAAATACAGCAGTCTACAAGGCTGTCATATGTAGGAAGGCTCTGGGTTTATACCTGAGGACCTCCTTGAACACACTGAGCATGTGTGTGCCCATGATCTAGGGCTGGCTGAAGATTTGGGTGCTTTTTCTTTCTCTCTAAATCATGGAAGAAATAAATATATTTTTAAGCTTAAAAAAGTAAAGTCACAATGAATTCTTGGCATTTTTTGATACCTGGCCCTATATCATATTCACTAGCTTACTTTATTTTCAACTTGAGCTTCAAGATGACGCTTGACAGTACCACATTCTCTAATCCCTGTGTGAATGATTAGAAAAAAAAAGACTCCATTATGCTAGTATTGTGGTCTCACACAGGGGATAGGATGCTTTGCTCAGAGTGATGCGATCTTCCATGAGGACCTTCCTTCTCTCAGAGCTCTTTAAAGGATATTCCCCTTATATATTACACATTAAAAATTATAGAGAATGCAGAAGCACTCTTAAATCCTAGCAACTGACTGGAAATAAAAAGCATTTATATTTTATAGAGTGGCTAATATACTAGTATTCCTCAGGGACAAGATCTATTCAATTTTCTTAGTTCTATTTTCAGAAGGTTCAATCAGTCCTTAGTTTACAAGGTGTTATTCAAATGCAACATACCAGAATGGGCACTTAATTTTCTTTGGAGAAATATAGCACTGAATCATTCCTGTAAGTTTTCATAAAGGGGACACTAGGGAATGTTTTAAATTTAATACTTAAATTACAAAATAGAGTATACTTGAAAAGTCAGATTTTACAACTGCGTGTACTAGAGATACACTGTAACATTGAATTGTCTTTTATACAGATTAAGAAGTGTGGGGACAGCAGACATAGCTGGCTAGTTGAGAAGCTATGGGAGGACCACCGCATGGTGAGACCCTGTTGAGTCTGTCTGGTGAGCTCTCTCGTGAAAGAAAGAAATAAAAATAACCTTTAAAAAAGAAAAGAAGTGTGGAGAAAATGCTCATGGGCATTCTAGATCTTTGCCAACAAACACATCCTCCAGAGACTGTGGCCCAGCATAAGGCAGGAAGGTGCCTGCAAAGCCAATCCTGAAATATAACTGGACATTTGTATATGTAAGATGTGACTCAGTTATAGCACCTCAAGTAGTGTACCCAGATTCACATGGGAAAGCGTCACATTGAGACCCATTAGAGGAAGTTCCATGACTTCTGCAAGATAAGAAGAGATATACTTATCTTTTGAATCTTCATTCTACTGGGCACCGATAGAAAAAGGAGTCTTGTCCTGTACTGATCAAACCCAATTTGGATAAATCTTGGGTAAAGGAACTTCAGAACAATGTAATGGTCACTTATGTTTTTCAAAAGTCTTTTCTGGAAATGAAAACCTTTGGCAAGGAAATGGGAGTAAGATGAAAGACAATGTCTCTAAGGTGTAGGTATGACTCTTTGCCTTCTAGTATTTTCTTCCTTGCCAATAACTGCTGTTGAAGTTGTTCATGGTAAACAAACAAACAAAAACAAACAAAAATTCTACTATCTCTATTGGCTAAAAGTTTATTTCACCTAGAGGTAAAGTGATTAGTATACTTTCAGTGGATGTCAAAGGCAGTTTTCTCTGTTGTCTATTAATTTTTGACCTTCAAATCTGAGAATTAACCTCAATTGATGCCTTGATTAGATTCACAATTCCCATAATTTAGTCATTAAGTTATAAAAAATGCATTTTAAGTTCACAGAAATTATACTACCAAGAAAATTTAGCATTAATTTTTAATATGATGGTCATGTACATATCAAAGTTTAGAAATTATAGTCATACCCTTACTGAATAAAAATTCTGAATCACCATTTTGTCCCTGAAATATGATGAACACTGGTCTTTCAGTGTCCCTAATCCTTCATTAATATTCTAGTTTGAAAAGTACGCTAGAGTTTAATTTATTAGTTGCTAAGTGCCAAAAGTTGCATACATTACTCCTACTCTGAGAATTTATTTTTGACAGGAAATCTCATGTAAAAAAACAGCAGCTATAAGAAATATCTGTTTAAGGCATAATTCCTTTTTCTTTTCAAATTTGTGCATTCATGTTTTTCCACTTTCTACTTTTACTATATTGTTTGTTCAAGAGTACTTAAAAGGAGACGGCTACTCTGTAAGATAGGTACTTCAGTAACAGAAGTCTTTGTTTTGCTTTGTTTTTCAGGATAATCTGGCAAGAACTGAGAATGGAAAGTTGATCAAAGAAGTTGCCAAAGGCAACAGTTCTGGACACCAGCTTGTGGAAGAAGAGACCTGTGTTTCCTGAATAAAAGGAATATATATTAGTATGTTGGAAAGAACATTAACTTTTAGAATGCACTAAATAGCCTTTAATACCATGGCTACCAGACATCAAGAAAACATCAAAATATCCTGTCATCTTACAGTAAAAGGAAGGGACAAGTTTTGGAAGTAGAAGCCTGAGCTGCCTCACAGACGTCTCATGAGATTGGAAATCCATGTAACATGGGACAACTACAAGCAAGTTGGAAACACTGTGACATGACGTTCCCAAATGGCAGGTCTTACCAGTCATTATCTCTTTCAGTCATTTTCCCTGCTCATTTCTTCATTCAGAGTTCCCCTAAGAAGTTTTTGACTCCAATAATCCCCTATTAACTTTATTTATTAGAGACATCCATTATATTAATGTTAACTTTTTAGACTTTTTCAGACAAGACTAATCTCTTCCTGGCCTTTCTTTTTCTTTGACAGCACTGGACATTCTGTTTCATCTTCTCTTCATATTTGGCTTCCTAAACACTGTTCTCTGTTCTTTGATTCTTCTCATCCATTGATTATCTGCTTTGGAAGCCAGCCCTTCCTCTACACTACTTCCAAAATGATTCAAATCCAAAAGTTACTTGCCAGAAAAGTACATATACTATCTCTACTTATTATCACACTCTTGTAAATTACTGTTACAGTTGTGTAGCACTTTAAAAATCCTTATCTCCTTTACTTCTTAAATTAATATAGAGATATTGACTGAGTAGATGTATAAGCCCTAGAGTATAGATAAGAATCATGTAGATATTAACTGTCAGAACCAGGATTAAAAGACATGTCTTATAACTTGTTAGAATAGAAATACACCCATAACATCCTACAGCTGTGAAAATGAACATCACATAGTCCCATCTTTTTGGTTTAATATAATATAATCTCTACAAATTTCTACCACTTGTGTTGTCAGGAATCAAGGAAAAATCTTGATACAGTTGGTAGCAAACTGAATTGCAATACTAGAAGCTACACAGCTGACCACAGGTTCAGATCCATGGGTCAGCTGAAAACACACGAGACATGTCAATGTATCCTGAGGATCCTGATGAACTGGAGGGCTGGGGAGAGAGGTTTGAAGCATAATGTCTAGGGTGCTTCTCTGTCTCTGTCTCTGTCTCTGTCTCTCTCTCTCTTCCTTTCTCATGCATGCACACATGCTATCATGAATAAAAGAAATAAGTTTCAAAATATTTTTAAGAGAAAAAAAAAAGATGCTACCTTAACATCTCCTTTGCATTTGCTGCTCTGCATCTGGTTACTTTGGAAATTTTGTCTGTCATAATTTTTTAACCTATCCATCTTACACATGGTGGACACGTGTGTAAGATGGATAGGTTATACGCCTTTGCCAAACTAGCTTTTAGAAACTGAACTGAGATTTTAAATAACACTCTGCCTTAACCCCGTGGCATAAAATTTATTTTTCTTATTCAATATACTGATCATATTCTATCCCGTTTATTCCTCCAAAGACTTTTATTTTAACATTTTCCTCATCCAGATTGGAAAAAGTCATTTCAGCTAAGCACAAAGGCCTCTTCTTAAATATATTTAACTTTTCTTTGTTGTTTTTGTTTTTGTTTTTCTATAGAGGCATACACTTGCAGGGAGAGAGAGAAGAAGAAGCATTCTCTGTGGCGGGGTGATCATGCTGCCATCACTTTTCCTCCATTCTCCTCTTGGGATTTTGGTCATGTGTGTATGCACACATGTCCAGGGTGTTTTTTGAGTTGTCGAGTTCAGGACTCAAACTGCACAGTTGGGTATGTAGAATCCAGCTGCCTTAACCTCTGTGCCACCTGCTGGCTTGAAGCCTCTCTGTGTAAAGACTGA